GTGTAACAGCCCTGATTTGGTCTGCTCTTCTGGTTGTGACGACCATGTTTGCTACCAAAACTTAAAACACGTCTTGTGGATCTTTGGTATGAGAATGGGAATAGAAGTTTATAGTTTCCCACAGACGGCGCCAATGTACCGTTAGGTTCTGTGAGCCCACTATGTACCCTATAAGGTAATGTTGCTATATGGATTATACCACTAGGCGAGGTAAAGACCAGACTAGTGGGTATAGTTCCAAGAGGCAAGCAAGCTAATAGTAATGGAAGATTAATAACAAGAGAATGACTTGGAAGTAAATGGGCATAACAACAGTACATAAAAGATACCTCTAAGGTGTGCCCAGGAGGGCTATTTATAAGGGAAATGGAGCGGGTTGGTGAGGGAGAGGTCAACTCTCCTTGGGATTTACTCACATGGTGCAGTGTTAGGTGTGCTGGCGCTGTCATTGTGGCAGTGCTGCGCCCTCTGCACTCTGGCGGTGTCAGCGCCGGGCAAAGGGGGAGTTTCCCTTTGTGGTTTCTGCCGTAGTCGCCTTCAACGGTTAGCGTTCCAAGATGGGACATTTTGGTGTATGTCTTGGGCCTGCTGCTACGTTGGGGGTTGAGGGGGTCCATGTCAGCCCTAAGGGTTGACGTGGGGCAAGACTAAGGCTGGGCTTGAGTGATTGGGCCAGATGAGGGTCGGGCCGCCCCAGTATTTGGGCCATCCAGAACACATCACATGGCATGGTCACTAAAACTATTAACATGTTGTATAATCATCCTTCTAACTAAAAGGGCAGTCCAACAATTTAGAGGGCTTATGTTCAAGTTCCCCAAAATCGGTTCTTAGGCATGAATTACACATTTTAGCAGGCTGCCCACACAAGTTTAATACATACCAAACTTAATTAAATTTTTCTAATTCAAGGTACAATTCAACAAAGCTAACGGGAGCCATTTCCAAGCTCACCTATCGGTTCCCCTTGTGCTTACAAGCACTAAGTTATGGTTTTCCAAGAGGCAGAACGTAAGGGAGTAGAGTGACAACACCTCTTCTCCTTGAATGCACAAAAAGAAACCGAATAAGAGGGAGAAAAGAGGAGGACACGGTTTCAGATTCCTACATTGAAGATGTTCCTAATCAGCTCCCCTAAAACCGTTCATGAGCCCAAACCAAAAGAGGGTAGCACCCTCTTATTCCTACTGTCCAAAGGATTAAAGCAGAAAACACATAAGTAACAGCCCACACATCTTCTCATATGCCGAAATCAGAAAGCAAATAATGTGTGAGTTGCTCACTTGCTCTAGTAGGTGAAGGAAAGTGAGTTAAAACTAAAATGCTGGCCTTTCTTGTCAGGAATCGGACTTGCAGCTGCATGCAGGGGAGTTCCATTGAGAACCGAGGGAAATAATCTGCATGCAATGAATCTCCTCATCAAACCGACGAGGGAGGGGTGGACAAGTGAGCAGGGGATTCTCTACACCTCTTCATAGGTGACACAAGGCCGAACAAGAACGTATGGAGGATAAACTCATAGTGTGTTCTCCTTCGCTGCTGCCAATTAACCGAACTATGCAGGGAAAATGAAAACTTGAATGATTATTGTCCTTTTAGATAACTCACGGTTTGGTGTGGGGAATTTGAGGATGAGAAGAAATGCTCTCTTGGCATCTTAACCCTAAGAGCTTGCGGTTTAGAAGGGCATGAGGGAGGCTAAGGTGATTCTGAATCAAAGAGGAACAATTTCCTCTCTCTTTTGTTTTCTTGGAAGTTCACGGCTTGAAGAAAAAGGCTGAATGGTTCTCTTCTTTTGTCTAATACTCAGCTCATTTGCTCACTACCATGCGCACAAAGATAGGTTGATGGAGGAGATGATGTAAATGAATGGTTGAATTTTATTCTAAATTACGAGACCAAGTATCCAGCTTATTGTTTCTTTAAGCTTTGCGCACATTGAGGGGAATGGAAAGAGTGATTGACTTAGCTTAGAATACAAAACAAGCAATCAGCTTGTTTGTTCTCCCAAAAATGCGCATGGGGAAGAAAGATAAGGGTGACTATAAATGGACATGTGTCCCCATGTGACCAATAAGGTTATGTTAGGTTTCTAAAACCTAAGGAAGAACAGGACAGAGATAAAAGAAGAGAATGAAATTCAGTTTATTGATCTTGAATGAATGAATCCATAGTTCTTTACAGTTCCTATTTATAATCCTTCCAATATACCCAATTGACAACTACACACGCACGTGTAGCTTAACTAACTAACCGACTAATAAGGACATGCAGTCTGTACACGTGGAGTAACCAACTAACAGAGCATTACAAATGGAAGCATGAAGTATAAGTCACGCTACAAAGTCTGTTAGCATAGATGAATGCTTCCTACTCCTCGTGGACCTTCGCATCGTAACATTGCCTTCTCCTTCAACAACAACCTTGTCCTCAAGGTTGAAGGTTGAGTAACAACGAAGCAAGTCGGATTCCCTCTCCCAAGAAGCATCTTCTGGGATTGTATTGGACCATTGAACAAGAAACTCTCGGACAGATTGGCCATGACAATCAACTGACCTTGTGTCTAGAACAGCAACAGGAACTTGAATAGGCTTGTTATCCATAGCTAAGGGTGGAAGAGGATTGAATACCACTGGCTTGGGACCAACACAAGGTTTCAATTGTGAAACATGGAACACTGGATGGATTTGACTTCCAAGAGGCAATTGCAATTCATAAGCCGTCTTACCTAAAGCACGCAAGACCTCAAATGGACCAAAAAATCTTTTAGCAAGCTTGTGATTAGATCTTCTTTCCACAGTAACTTGCCTATAAGGTTGCAGACGTGCCCAAACCAGATCTCCCACTTGAAAGGAGCGTTCCTTGTGATGTTTATCATACTGGACCTTCATACGGTTCTGAGCTCTTTGTAAATGAAGTTTGAGCTGAGCTAAGACTTCATTTCTGATCTGCAACATAGAATCAATGGCCTCCAGCTTAATTAACCCTCTCGGATAAAATGGGATCATGAGAGGTGGTTTGCCAAATACTGCCTGGTAAGGAGACATAGCTATAGCTGAGTGGGTTGCTGAATTGTAGTGATATTGAGCCCAACACAAAAACTTACTCCAGGAACGAGGTTGATCTCCACAAAAAGAGCGCAAGTATTGCTCCAGGTAACGATTGGTCACTTCTATTTGACCATCAGATTGTGGATGGTAGGAAGAAGTTGTTCTTAAGGTAGTATCACTCAATTTAAAAAGGTGCTTCCAAAATTGACTCAAAAAGATGCGATCCCTATCAGTTAGAATAGAATGAGGAAAGCCATGTATCTTAACTACCATGTCACAGAATAAGGTGGCTACTGTAAAGGCAGTATAAGAAGTAGGTAAGGAACCAAAGTAAGCAAATTTAGACAATCTGTCTATTATAACCAAGATAGTGGTTAAGCCATTCGAAGGAGGAAGACCAGTAACAAAGTCCATAGAAAGCTCCTCAAAAATGCCTTCAGGAATTGGAAGAGGTCGCAGCAGCCCAGCTACTTTGGAAGGTTCATATTTCACCTGTTGACAGATGTGACAATGTTGTACATACTGTTTGACATCCTTCCGCATTGATGGCCAATGGAAGGTGGCTGATAGTCTCAACAGGGTTCTTAAGACACCAGCATGTCCTCCAATTAGAGAAGAATGAGCCTCTTTAATCAGCACAGGCACTAAGGATGAGGAGGAAGTAAGGAGATATTTACCTTTGTAAAAGATAATACCATCTCGAATTGTCATATCAGGATCATGATTCGGGTTTTCCTGTAATTGTTGATGCAGAGTAAGTAAGTGGGGATCTTGTAAATTTTGACTCTTAATCTCAGCAAGCAAATCAAATTCAGGTTCGGAAAGGGATACACACACGGCACCTTCCTCATCAAACACTCTAGATAAAGAGTCAGCCACTGTGTTAGCATGGCCTGGTTTATATTCTATATGAAAAGAATATCCCATCAACTTGCACAAATATTTTTGTTGTTCAGCAGTGTGAATAGTTTGAGTGAGGAGTTCTTTAATGCTTCTATGATCAGTTCTGATAATAAATCTGGTCCCAAGCAAATATTGTCTCCATCTTTTCACAGCAGCAGTGATAGCATAAAGTTCTCTGATATAAGTAGAAGAACTAGCTAATCTCGGTCCAAGCTTTTTACTGAAGTAAGCAATAGGTTTTTCACCTTGGAGTAACACAGCCCCCACACCAAAATTCGATGCATCAGTATCAACAACAAATATCTCCTCAAAATTGGGCAGCTGCAATACAGGTGTATGAGACATAGCAACCTTTAATTCCGAGAAAGCTGTATCAGCTGCTGGTGTCCATTGGAAAACAGATGATCCTTTTAATAGATTTGTTAAGGGAAGAGCTAAGGAAGCATAACCTTTCACAAATCTTCTGTAATAACCAGTTAGCCCCAAGAAGCCCCTCAATTGCTTAATAGTTTTGGGAGTAGTCCATTGAAGCATGGCTGAAATCTTCCTAGGATCAGCAATAACCCCACTATCAGTGACCACATGGCCCAAATATTCGATAGACCTCTGTCCAAAAGCACATTTAGACAACTTAACCACAAAAGCATACTGCTGTAAAGTAAGGAGAGCTAGTTCCAAATGCTGAACATGCTCCTCAATAGTTTTACTGAAGACTAAAATGTCATAAAAAAAAACTATAATGAATCTCCTGAGATAAGGTTTGAAGAGATGATTCATGATCGCTTGAAAAGTGGCTGGTGCATTTGTCAAACCAAATGGCATGACCAAGAATTCAAAATGACCATCATGTGTTCTGAATGCTGTCTTATGAGTGTCAGCAGGCAACATCCTAATTTGGTGGTAACCCGCTCTTAAATCCAATTTAGAAAAAATAGTAGAACCCCTTAGCTCATCCAACAATTCATCAATAGTAGGAATAGGGAATCGATCTTTAATGGTGACTGCATTAAGATCTCTATAATCAATGCAAAGCCTCCAAGAGTTGTCTTATTTTCTCACTAACAAGACTGGTGAAGAGAATGGACTATGAGAATGTTGGATGAAACCCGAAGCTAGAAGCTCAAAGACCTGTTTTTCAATTTCAGATTTTTGACCATGACCATATCTGTATGGTTTAACATTAACAGGTTTGGTACCTGGCTCTAAGTGGATGGAATGATCCAATCCTCTAAAAGGTGGCAATCCACTAGGAAGTGCAAATACCTGCTGAAAATTCAACAATATAGGCCAAAGAAGGGGATGGAGATCAGATTGCATTTTGAGTAACTCAGGCAGTATTGTAACCTGTATAGAAGAATCTGATTCTGTTTGTAAGGCATGACAGCCAGCCCACTCTTGGGACAGAATTGTATTCAATTTAGCAGAGACATCAGTGGGATTATGACCTTGCAAGACAATTGAATTCTCTTCCCACCAAAACTCCATTGACTTACTGATATAATCATGAGTAACCTTTCCCAGCCGTTCCAGCCATGGCATACCCAAAATGATGTCCATATCAGATAAATCCAGAACCCACAGATCACAGACAAACTTATGACCTTGAATCAGTAATGGTACCTTGAGACATTTTTTATCAGAATGCATAACATCCCCATTACCCAAAAACACACGAATTCGTTGAGAATGTGATATAGGCAAGGCTAGTTTCACAGCTAACTGATGTTGTATGAAATTATGGGTGCTCCCTGAGTCAACTAAAATAGAGAAATCCATACCTGCAAATGTTGAACTAAACATCAAGGCATGGTAGTGAGTAGTATCCCTCAAGGTATGAAGTGAAGCATCCTTTGCTTCTCCAACAGAGTTATCAACTTGCCAAACAATCTGTTCCTCCTCTACTGCCTGATCAACAACATCATCCTCACCAAACAATAACATCAATTTATTCTTGCAAATGTGCTTAGAATTCCATTTCTCATCACATGTATAGCAAAGACCCAATTCTCTCCTCTTGTGTAAATCAGCATTCAACACACGTTTCATTGGGATAGGAGCTGGTAAGGCCAATCTCTGTGTATTCGAAATTCCAGAATGAGGGATGGAATTATTGGGCAACACAGAAGAGTTATCTAAGCCAGACACAGGTTTCTGAAAAAATTTCTTAGGTGCACCTTGGAACGAAGTTTTGAGATCAGTAAAATGATCATCATAAGCCATAGCCAGCTGAATGGCTTGGTGTAAGGATATAGGTTCCTTTAATTGGACCGCACTACGTAATTCAGATTGGAGACCCGAAACAAAAAAGTTCATTAAAAGATCATCATCTAGTTCAGGAATTTGATTAACCAATGCCTCAAATTGTTGAATATATGCACGTAGGGAAGATGTTTGAGTCAATTTGGATAAAGCTCCTTTTAAATTTGTAAAGCCAGACATGCCAAAACGCTGGCGAAGAGCAGAAACAAAATCAGACCATGCACGAGCCTTACCATTGTTGAAAGTCCATTGAAACCAAGAGGCAGCCATGCCTTCCATCTTCAACCCAGCCAAAGCAACCTTTGTTTCCTCGGGAATCAACTGAAGAGTAAAGAACAACTCTTCTTTAAAAATCCAGTTGTTAGGATCAGTACCATTGAAAACCGGTATCTCCATGCGAACCCCCTTGAGTAAGGAACGATGATCCATGGAATCTGATTTGGTGTAATTGTGCGAAACAGGAGAATTATTGCTGTGTGAATTACCATGCTTAGGCGTTTGATTAGCCATAATCGTTTCCTGCAATTGTTGCATCTGTAAAACCAGTAAGGAAAACTGGTTCCTGGTTTCATTAGCCTGAACCGTCGCTTGCATGCGAAGTTCCTCCAAGTTCGAGTCCACTCGTTGCTGAAGTGAATGCAACTCCTCCGATAATTCTTGAATCCTCGTCATGGAAGAAGAATAGGAGAATGGATGAAAGCACCAATGTTAGGTTTCTAAAACCTAAGGAAGAACAGGACAGAGATAAAAGAAGAGAATGAAATTCAGTTTATTGATCTTGAATGAATGAATCCATAGTTCTTTACAGTTCCTATTTATAATCCTTCCAATATACCCAATTGACAACTACACACGCACGTGTAGCTTAACTAACTAACCGACTAATAAGGACATGCAGTCTGTACACGTGGAGTAACCAACTAACAGAGCATTACAAATGGAAGCATGAAGTATAAGTCACGCTACAAAGTCTGTTAGCATAGATGAATGCTTCCTACTCCTCGTGGACCTTCGCATCGTAACAGGTTACCCATGCAGATTTCCCCTTGATGTTTAAGAGATTAGCTAAAACTAAAGGATAAGGGTCTTGGCTGAATTTAAACCTTCCCCCAAGCGTTTGGGCCGTGGCCTATCAAAATAGATGTGGTACAATCCATCTTTTAAGGTTCACTATCTCAAGTGCTCCTAAGTGATGACTAAGGTTCTTGTAGTTGTAATTAAATAAATCCTATCCTATACTTTACATGTAGTTCGATTTCATGACATGAATTCACCTCCCTAATTGTACTTTAAAATCTTCCCAATAATTATTAGCCCAAGTTCCCACTAGGTAGTAACTAGGTTTTCTACCTATATTGTAATTAAACTCCATACTATCCTTTTTCACAAGTGTCATGAATCTTTTAAAATATTCACACACGCTCACTTATACTAACAACAAAATAATTTTCCTACTTAATTTAATCCCACTCTACACAAATTTAATTCGAAATTTAAATCATGTTTCACATTCTAAATTATAATTTATAAGCTCCTAATTATGCGGGATGTTACACTAATATTCTGGGAAATTCGTAGTTTGATCCATTCTGTCCAAACAGAAGCGTGGTTTAGGTTTCTGGACTCTTAAATGGTTAGTATGGACCTCTGTACTGATGTAAGTAAGTCAGAATCTATAATATTGAAGGCTAAGGGCTTTGAGAGAAGCCTACGTCCGTTAAACGATAAAGGAAACATTATCCTAATGCAATGAAATTCTAACTATGAATATTGATGATGTGAATATTATGAAAATAGATCCTTGACTTTGATGGACCTTGTTATTACTTGTGACCGTGTGGACACTGAGTTGTGAGGGAGGATTTAGCTTGACAGGTAAGCTTCTGGTTCTCGAATTGATTTGTTGCTTGTTCCACCGACCTCAATGGGAGGGTGGTTTATGTGCATGGTATGCTTTTATGAAAATAACATATGTGTAACACCCTTAATAAGGCCATCAAAAGTGTAACATTGCTTGACATTCAATGCGCGGAATCCATGTACTTAAGCGTGGTTAACTTAAAATTTACTAATGGGAATTAATTTCGTTCATTTCCCTAACTTATCTATTCCTCTAGTCATGAGTTTCTCTTTTTCTTTGTCTACGGTCTACTTACAAATTAATCTCTACTTGGTTACCCTACTTACACTTATACGCTATTTTAGGGGCTCACTTACATGATCACAATTTTAGTGTTGACTACTACCCAGTAGGTAGTTACTTAAGTGTCTTATGCGGATAGTGACTTATGTTACTTAATCTTTCCTACTAATTTCATAGTCCATAAAACATAAACATCCAAAATATCGTACTTCAAACGCATATAAATTGTTCAAAATAGTCTAAGTGGCATAGTCTATTACAGTCATCCAAATTAAAATCTTTAGTGCATCTTTAGTAAGGTGCACCCTCAATCCATAGGGATTCCATTTCCTGATCCATAATATAGTTTGCCAGTTCCCACTTTCCTTCAAATATTAGATTAAAAACTCTATCTATAAGGGATGGTGTATTATCAACTTTATCTGCACATGGCTGCGCAGGTTCCTCTTCAACTCGTACCAACCTCTTTCCCTGCCTTACCCATTTGGTCATTTTTACCTGAAAGTGGGTTTCCCCAAAGAGGGGTGAGATTGAGGGTCTCAGTAAGAACTCACAGTTGGAGCAACCTCCAAACCATGATGCTTACTCCTGCAATAGTCACATAATAACATGTACAATAATAGAATGGCAAAACATCGGAAACATAGTTTGGAAAATAATCATGCTTTCATATCATCATACCAATCCTGCCATGGCAATTACTCTCCATGGTCTTATGGACGAATACCCAGGGTCCTCGTCAGGTTGCCTCCGTGGTATTAGTGCACAGGCAATCTTACAAAACTTGCATGAATAAACATTAGTTCCAAACAACCAAACATATCATGTAATGCATCATATAACATATTGCAGTCAAACCTCACTTTAACATAAAGGGGTGGCAACCATAGGGTAGCCGCTTCAACAACCATAAATCACTTACTCAATAGTCTTGTCTTATTCTTGGTCCTTGCTTGTTCCTCTGGTTTGGCCTAGTAACATAATCATCCTTGGTACATATCCATAAGATCTAACTTGGTTTTCTTCTTGATATAGATTCTGCCATTTTTAAACAAAATACCTAGGAGATGATTTTTCATTAATGGCTTTCATGTATAGGTCCTATTTTTATTATACAATTCGGCCATGCATCATAATACCAAGAAAACATTCACAAATTTCTCTCTTAGGCCCATTAGGGTTCGGCCTTTTAGGGTCATACACTTAAAGGAAAATTTTAATATCATGTTCATGGGTTTAATGCTCACATAAAATGATAGATCCTTAAATCAAACCTTGGGCAATACTCATCTATTCATTAAATTCGGTCATTTAGGGTTAAGGTCATAAAAAGGAGATTTTTCACATTCTACTTCCATACCCATCATGCTAACACTTTCCATGGTACTTAAAAGAAAAATATCACGCATTTAGGAAGGTATGTAGGTTCGGCCATTTAGGGTTCATGCCTTTAGGAGATGATTTTTTTAAGGATGCTTACTTATCATGCTAACACCATCACTTTAACCCTCTCCATGATACTTTAAAGAAAATATTAAACATTTAGTGACACACCTAGGTTCGGCCATTTTGAGGTGATACACTTAGGAGGTGATTTTAAAGATGAAAGATGCATGCATGGCTTTATTAGTCCAAGATCTAGTCTTATAAATTAGTTAGAGTTCATTCTACTCACTTGAAGGGATGAAGAGCTCATGAGATCTTACCTCAAAGATGATGTCTAAAATATAGCCTTAACTAATGCTTCACACTTTGATCTTCAAGGAGTCTTCTAGGGTTGAGAGTTGCTTCCAACAACCCCTTGGTTTCTCTCTTACTTGCTTGGCTTGAGGAAGTGAGAAATGGCCGAAGTCAAGAAGAAGAAGGAGAAGGAGGAGTCCTTTATCTTGTTTCTTGGTGTTTCACGGCCTTAGGGGGAAGGAGGAAGCTCTTTGCCTTTTCTTTTATCTAGGCCTTGTCATCATTTGCTCAAAGGTGCACTTGAGTATTACTTGTGAGTGTGAAGAAAGCTACTCACATGCATTGGAGGGTGTATGGTGCTTGAGTGTGGAGTGTAGGGAAAGACAATTCCTTTGGCTTACTTGAGAGGGGGCGAGTTAGGTCTAGGTTGATTGTGTGGGTTAACAAATCTTTTGTTCAAGTGTCGTACGCATGGGGAACTCTTGCATTCCTACCTAGAAACCAAAACTTCATCATTATTCACTTAGGAAGTGGTGCGCGTGAATCGAAGGGGTTCTTTGTGTGTAGCGCCTAAGTGGAGGGAAGATAAGGCTCACATTAATTGCTTGAAGAGTGGTGTGAATGGGGGGAAGAACTTTTGTATGACATGCCTTGGTTAGGGAAACGAGGTGCATCCTTAATTAATTTGGGGAGTGAGGTGCATGGGAAAGAGGGAGGTCTTTGCGTGTACCAATGTTAATTGCTTTAATCATCATTGAAGAAATGTTGGTTAATGTGTAGGGCCTTTTGTCTTTTAGCTCTCCATAATTGAATTTTAGGATAGAGTGTCTTTGGGACTTCCCAATGCATGGGGTTTGGGAATCACCTTGAGTATGTCACACTCATCATAAGGTGTGTAAGAACAAGTCTTCCCTTTTTTATGCTAATTATTGCGCCTAGGGAGATGGAGAAAAGGTGGCTTCACCTTTTTAATCATGCATTGGGAAGACTTGTGCGCCTAGGGAAGAGGGAAAGTGAGCCTACTTTTATAAGGGAATCTTGGTTTATGTTCCTTTGATGTGTTACCTTGGGAGATGGAAAGACTTGTGTCATGCATGGCTTGAGTGTGTAAGAAGGAAGCTTCCTTTTCCTTGTCATGAGTGCGCCTAAGGTGGGGAAGGCAAACTCATCACCTTTTTCTCTTTGCTAGGTCGAGGTGGACATGTGAGGAGGGTGAAATCTTCATTCAAATTGTCCAATCACGTGTTGCCACCTCACCTAGGGTTTATTCTTGAATTGGGTTGGGCTTTGTGAGTGTCTTGGCCCATTAAGTTAATAAGTGTTGGACCATTAGTAATTGGGTCAAGGCTAAGTGGTGTGGGCTTGGATCTTTGTCTAGATACTAATTGGGTCATTTCTTATAAAATGGGCTTGCATTGCTTTGGGCTTAAATCCTTTAACTTAGTTATATTCTTAAGTAGGTTGGGCTTTAACTTTATTTGGGCTTTAAACCACATTGGGCTAAGTTATTAATTATCTTATTTAAAGTGGGTTCTAACTTAGGACTAATGTTGCTTATTCAAAGCTACTCGTTCACTGAATATGGACTTGATCCCTTTTCATTTCATTTCATTAGGCTAATATCGAGTACAAGATTTTTGGGTTATTACATCCACCCTACCTAATAAAATTTTCGTCCCGAAAATTACAAACATTCTAAGTCGGGATACTTCTGCCGGATCTCGTCTTCTCGCTCCCAGGTTGCCTCTTCGGGAGTCCTTCCTTGCCATTGTACCTTTACCATTGGTATCACCTTGCTGCGAAGGCGCTTCTCTTCTCTGTCTAGAATCTTGTAGGGTACTACCGGAAT